GCCTACAAGGTTCCCCCCCCCCCCTTAATCCCTTCACAATCATTAAGTCTTAATCCAGGGGGCTGTGCCAAATGCCATCTACCTTCGGACTCACCTTCCTTCCCAGGGAGATCCAGAGTTTACTTCAGACCAACAGAAACAAGTCGACTTACATAGCATCTGTCATGTGTCAGGCACTGTAATTGTTTCATACGTGGCTAATCTTTCTATTCCTACAATAACCCTACAAGGTAGGCACTGTTTCACCCTGAGGTATAGGTTAACTAGTATCACACAGCCCCACAGCGGCAGGGCTGGGATCTGACCCCTGGCTGCCTGACTCGAGAGCCCGAGTCTTTGCTACTACACTAGACTACTTCTCCACCGCTGGTTCCTCTCCCTCTGAGAGACTTTTCTTGGCCACCAGGGCCAGGAGCTCCCTCTGACATTTACCTGCTGGATTGTATCGTGAGTCCTGGGCACTGACATCAGAGATCATTCTAGGCTAGAGAAATTCATACCTGATCTTGGGGGTGAACACAGTAAGAGGGGCCCCGATATGAAGTCAGGACCCTTGAGTTCAAATTCCTAAGTGTCACCAGATTGGTAAAAATTAGAGACCAACACTAGCAAGTGTTGGCAAGGATACGGAGCAAGTGGAACCCTTCCACATTACAGGTGGGTATGTAGGTTGGCAGAACCATTTTGGAAAGCCATTTGGCACTATCTAGACAGGCTAAATGTACCTACCCTATGATGCAGAATTCCATTTCTGGGTATATGCATACACATGCACACCAAACAACAGACAAAATTGTCACAACAGCTTTATTTATAATAGTTCAAAACTAGGAACAACCCAATAGTCCATCAACAGCAGAATGGCTAAACTGGCACATTCATATAACGATTTACTACACAGCATGAAAAAAATGAACCTTTGATACACACAGTAACATGGATGAATTTACAGACATAATATTGAGCAAAAAAGGATGTATGACTCCATTTTAATAAATTTCAAGAGCAAGCAAAACTAAGTTATGGTGAGGTCAAAATAGTGTTTACTTCTGGGGGATACTGTCTAGAAAGGGAAACAAGAGAACCTTTAAGGGAGCTGGCAATGTTCTGTATCTTGATTTGGAGGATGACTGCCCAGAGGAATACACATATGTGAGGAGGACTCATCAAACTATACTCTAAAAATTGGCGCACATTATTAAATATATCCTGTATTTCAGAAAGTCAGGGAAAAAAATAAAATAAAAGGTTAAAGACACTTTCTGGGTATGGCTGACAAGTTATTTTTGCCCACCCCCACCCAATCTTCTCCCTTAGTCTGGAGGGAACCCCACACTTTCTTCTTTTAGGGACACCTCTCTCTTTTTCAGTCAATCTGTTTTAGGTGGAGCTCACTCCTTTGCAGGCCCCAAATCAAAGCACCATTTCCCCTACTACAGTGAACTGTTTAGGGATGGGAACAGGACCACGCTGACTAACGAGTCAGTCCCAGAATTTTTTGTTGGAATTAGTAGAAAAAGATGTTCTTTCCACTGCAGTTGCCAATCTTTTAGGATATAAGCTTGGAGCTGCCAGTGGCCATCTTGCCACCTTCTGCAGAGTCTGTGAGAGAGAGGCCACAAAGAGGAAAGCACGGCGAGATTAAATTCTTACTGATGACACTGTCAGAACCTGGGTCTAGCCATCCCTGTACTAAGATTTTTCATTAGGTGAATCAGGAAATTTCCTTTTTTTTGCTAACCATTTCAAGTTTCTTACAGTTATAATTAGAGTCTAATACACTGAGAATCTCAGGTAAAATTATGAGGTATGAGAGAGCTTGGAATATAAAATCACCAATGAACCTTGTGTGACCCAACTTGTGGGTGCTGCTGCTATCCCTGCCCTGAGTGGCTGCTTGCTCTGAGACCATGGCCCGGCCAGACGGGTGAGGCAGGCCAAGGAGTCACGTGGAAAGGACTCTGGTCCTTGTTTGAAAAGGGTTCTGGAATAGGAATCTAGACAACTGGATTCCACTCCCCATTTTGCCGCCTTCTTAGTGGCAAGACCTTGGGTAAATCTCTACATCTCTTTGAGTCTTATTCCTTTTCTGTAAAATGGAGTATCATCAGCTAGTTCAAATGGTTGTTACGCAGGTCAAACACTAGTTTCCCAACTCCTCCAGCTTTTCATACCCTTGTCTGAGTTAGTGCCTGCATCCTGGGCATTCCCACAGCACCCTGTATGAACCTCTGACCATTGCCATAATGGTCTTTAATAGTGGTGAGTTCCCCAAGGAAAAAAAAGTGTTTATCCCCGAGTCCCCATGCCAACAGGGCTGGGCATACAGCTGGCAGGGACTTCTGAATCCAAAGTGGTCCTGCAGGCCAAGAGTATGGCATGGTATGGCAGCCCACCATCACTCTGCCCTTCACTTCCTTGCCTAGCAGGTGGGCCCAATTCTGACATCCTGGGTGGCATAGAAGGACTCTGGGAAACTGCTGAGGCAGTCTGGGCTTTGGAAGCTGGGAACTGAAAAGCCACACTGGGGGCTGTGGAGGGTCTTTTCCAACTGGCCTAGAGCAGGTGCTCAAGACAAGTTTGCTTGGTGAAGAATGGGAGCTAAAGCTGCGTGGCACCTTCCACAGATCTGACTGCCTGAAGCTAAGGCTGGACAAAGGACTCCTGAAGCCATCAGACTCCTTTCTCAGCTCATTTCTGTGACATAGAAAAGGTTCTTCCAAGAATTACCAGGCCTATGATAAGTTCCATGGAACAAACCTATTGCTGTTTAAGAGCTGGGCAGGACAAGGCCATCTCTCCTTATGTATCCTCATTCATTCATTCATTCATTCATTCATTCATTCATTCATTCATTCATTCAAGAAACACTTCATGACACACCACTCTGACATTAGGGAAGTGGAGATAAACAAGGCTAGATCTCTGCCCTGAAAGGGTTAGCTTGGAAAGAGCCACACTGGACACAGCCTCCATTTTGACCTTCCTGTCTGTGTCCTTTCCTGCTCCCCTGCATTCCTTCTGTACAATCCTCTCAAGCAAAGCAGGTTACTAGTTTAAACTGTCTAAAGACCTCCATGAGGCCCTCCATCACAGGGAACGTAGATGCGTGGATAAGGTTGTATTGAGTTTAGGGTACCTGGAAAGACTTCCAAGGGGTTGCCAAACAATTTGGATGCCTCTGTCCGTCCCAACTCCTAAGATCAGTATTTAGGGCTGTGGGAGTATGAGTGGGATAAAGTTGAGGGATCAAGATACACATATTAGACCCAATGCAAAACTGCCCCAAATCTCAGATCTGTTAAGTTACAGTCTGGCTCATGGGAGAAATTATTTAGATGCTTCAGTGACCAAGAGACAGAGCATAAGCACACACCCACACACAATACTAAAGGCATTTTGCAGGCAAGGGATAGGGAGTGGGAGGTGATGAGAGCAGAATAGGGGCTTCTTTGACCCAGTGAAGAGGGGAGGGGGGCTCTGATGGTGCCACTCCCTAGAATTCCTGCTTGAAAGATACAAAGGAAAATATATTCCCAGTGAAGTCCCAGGCTATAAAACATGGCAGAGTTGGAGAAATCTAGGTTTGGGGCCTGGGGATCACCTGATTCCTCACTGCAGAAACTTGTACCAGCTCTTCTTTCTTTACCTGGGGCCCCATCCCACTCCCTGGTACCTAGGAATCTCCTGGTGGGTGATGGGGGAGGGCTAGCACCACGGCAACCTGGGCAGGTGGTCTGCTGCACATGGGGAAGGGGAGGGCTAGTGGGGCCCATGGGCAGCAATGAATCTCTGAGCTGGCTGGCACAAGGCAGTTTGCCTTTAAGGGCACAGAACCATCAAGCAATCTTGCATAAGGGGACTTTCCCATATGACCCTGGGTCAGAGCACCTCTGACAGCAAGGACGAGAAAGGCCCTCACTGGAATTTTCCATGATCCCACTGGGTATTGAGGCCTTCTCCAGCTCTAGCTTGTCCCCAGTTGCTGCAGGTCCTTAGCACCATTCAGGAACTGTGGAGAAGGGGCAGGAGGAACAGCAACACTCTGCCAGGACTGTGGCATTGCTCCAGGAGGAGACTTCACAGTGGGCAGAAACCTGTACAACTGGCCAGGATCTGGTCCCAGGGTTAGGAAAGCCAGCACATTTTGGGGGGAGTGTCACATTAGCTCTAAGCTTCCATGTGGCAGGTACTTTCATCTGCCCTTTCCTGCCTAGGCCAAGGTCTGACATGAAAGTGCCAGGTTTCACTGGAGATGCCTAGAGCCCAGGGAGAGCTTAGCTGTTCAGCTGCAAGGACTGGACCGAAACTGACCTACAGAGGAAACATAGGACTGGGGCCTCATGACATACGGCCCAGAAGGACCGCGGAAGGAGAAAGGCCATCCTCTAAACTACCACCCTGTAAGAATTCAAGTCCTCTAAAAATCCCTGCTTCCTTTGTCCTGACTTACAGGCCCATTCCAAAGGGAAGGAGCAAGGGTAGATTTGCCTGGTCCAATCACAGGCTGCCTACGGCCCACTCCTGCCTCAGGCCTATGTAAGAAAGGAGGAAGAGGGAGCCAAGGGCGGACCATGGTCATGGGAGGCTGGCTCATGGCTGGTTCAACCTGGGGTGCTGGACAGAAACACCTCTAGTCTTCCAAAGTAGTTGAGTCTTTCTGAATGGGTTGTCTTTGCATTGGAATCTGGCCCAGGGGTGATGCCATTGTTTTTGGTGACCTGTAGTTTGAAAAGAAATAAAGGCACAGGGTCAATTTGTGGTGGTTGTAATAGCGCTCCAGGTAGCTTATTTTAATGATAGACAGTTCTTCCAGGCCTTGGAGTGACAATCAGGACAGCTCTTTTACTAAGAGCAACAACATGCTAGGCACCTTGCTTCCAGTATCCTATTTCATCCTCATGGCAATTATGCAAGGGGGTAGGAAATAGCACCCCCATTGTACATATGAGGGAACTAAAGTTCAGAAAGTGTAAGTGACCTGCCCACAGTAAGCTTTTAAGTGTGGAAGATTCAGCCCAGCCCATGTCTTCCCACTATAGCAAAACACTTATTCTGCCTCCATGGACCATTTTCCCCTTCATGTAGAATCTACAATGGCTCTCCTGTCACTCTCCATCGCACTCTCTGGTCACCTGGCACCACTTGGTGCTGTCTCATTTGTTTACAGATTTGCTTCTACCACCAGAGGGGGAATCCTAAGGAACAGGGAACAGCTTTTTTTTTTTCCAATGTTTAAATTTTTTTTAATCCTCACCTGAGGACATTTTTTCCATTGTTTTTTTTCAGAGAGTGGAATGGGGGGGAGAGAGAGAAACATTGGTGTGAGAGAGACAGATACATCGAATGGTTGCCTCCTGTATGCGCCCCGACTGGGACCAGGACAGAGCCTGCAACTGAGGTATGTGTCCTTGGCTGGAATCGAACCCACGACCCTTTTGTCTGCGGGCTGACGCTCTAACCACTGAGGAAACCGGCTAGGGCAGATCTTGATTCCTACTGTAGCCTCAGTGTCCAAATCAAGGCCTGACACATAATAGGTGCTCAATAAATATTTGTTGAGTGGACAAAAGCTCATCTCTAATAGCTCCCTTATTGGTGCTAGCACTTAAAATGCATTCTCTCTAACCTTCACATCATCCCAGAAGGTGAGGATAATGGGCTCCATTTAGAAGTGGCAGGGCAAAGTGAATGGGCTTTGGAGTCAAAGAGGTTTGAAACCTGAGTTTAACTCCAAGTAACTATGTGATCCTAGGCAAGTCACCTAACCTACCTGACATTAGGTTTCCTTGGGCTGTAAAAGGGCGGTCCTAATTCAGAGCTGCTGCTGTGAATTAGATGAGATTGAATTAGGAGTTCAGTAAATTGTAGCTATACTCTTACAGAAGAGGAACTGGAGGCTCAGAGTGGTTTACTCTGGCCCAAGGTGACACAGCTGAAAAGTATAGGAATAAAATAGTAAACAACACTAGCATTTTCAAGTATGGGTAGCCCCAGGACAGGGCTCTGGCTGGCTCCAGATTGTCTGTGAAATTGCCACCAGTCAAGGTGTCACAAGCTGCAGGTATGCTGAAACAGGATTGAGCCCGAAGCTGGGGTTGCTGGAGCTTTTTTCAAGTCTGTATCTAAGAGAAATCTCAAGAGTCCTCCCAGTTAAAGATATATCTACAAATAAAGAGAAAGACCATCTGCAGCATGGGACAGGAGATTTAAAGCAGAGTAGAAAGGACCAAGGACATTTTTTTACTCCAACACTGTTTCTACCTCCTTTAATTCATTCGGCTCTGTGAGTAATGCAGAACCAAGTATCAGAGTCAAAGCTATTATTTCAGCACAATTGCCTGCCTGAAACTCAGTTTCCTCATCTGCAGAATGGGGATAATTCCTACCTCAGAGGTTATGTTGTGGCACACTGTCCATACTACACAGTTTTTTCTGAGAGAAAGGGACAAAATGACATAGGCCCTCCCTGACCAAGGCCTAACTTCATCTCATGCGGTGCTACAACCTCTCTGTCAGCATGCGGCCCCAGAGGAGCATGCTACATGTAAACCAGATAAGCCTCAGGGTTTTTTTTTGTTTTTAAAAATATATCTTTATTGATTTCAAAGAGGAAGGGAAAGGGAGAGAGATAGAACATCGATAATGAAAGAGTCACTGATCAGCTGGCACGCCCCCTAGTTGGGATCGAGCCTGCAACCTGGGCATATGCCCTGACTGGGAATTGAACCGTGATCTCCTAGATCATAGGTTGATGCTCAACCGCTGAGCCATGCCAGCTGGGCTAGCCTCAGTTTGAATTACAGTTCTGTCTCATAGGTTCACTTTTAATGGTGGTTGCCTTTATCTGTAAAATCAGAATAATGATCCCTTTTCCCCAGGGTTGCTTGAGAATCATCTGAGAGAGAATTTGCTTGGTATATGGCCTACAACAGAACAGGTGCTCAAAGAATGGCAGACATTTTCAAGATTACCACCAACAGGCAACTCTCTGTTTACCTCTTCCCTTCAAAGAATTTATCACAATTTGTAATTATTGGTTGTTTACTTATATTTTGTCTCCTACCAGAATTAAGGTTTTGAGAGCAGGGACAGACTGGATCTGTCTGGGCTATCACTCAGGGTGTTCAATAAATATTTGATTAATGAATGAAAGAACCTGGTCATACTTTGTAATGATCTGTAGAGGGAGCTCTTGCCACATAATTGATGGTAGTGAAGACCAGGGTCTTTAGGCCAGTGAAAAAAAGGCTTCCCTAGTCAGATTGCTATAGGCCAGGAAATCCAAGTACTCTTAGAAGGCCACCAAGGAAATTGTCTATGCTTCTCTACTGAAACTTTCAGGCCAGGAGGGGAGAAAGCTGGGGAGAAGCTGATGGGAGGAAAACTTACAGAGGAGACACTTCTTTCTGTTAACTGACTGCTCTTCTGTTGACTGAGAAAAAGCTGCCAGGGTTCCCTTTTAGCCAAGTAGTGCCTGGCTTTGTTCTGATTCAGGGCCCAGAGCTCCTGCTGCAGACCCTTGAACTTCAAAGAATGATTACTCACTGGTTCTTGTGTTTGAAGCCGCTGACATGAGCTTGGTACTGTTCTATGGAGTTCAGCACTATCTTACATGTCTTGCATGGGTAGCCCTTCCCGGCTGAAACACACATAAAAGCCAAGATGCTTAGTTATCCAGTAAGAAGGGACCTGGACACTGCTGCTTTTGACAGTGCATGCAAATGTACTTCTGAGAACAGAGGGGTGGGGTGAGGTCAGGTGGTTAGCCCTGATGAGAATCCCAAAGACCTCCATGCTCAGGGGGCATATGCTATGCGTCTATGTGCTCCCTGAAGATGGGAACCTCTTCTTTCCCCTCTGTGTCCCCAGTTCCAGTGTTGAGCTTGGTCCAGAGTAGGTGTCTGTTGAGTAAATAAAAGATCGACAGAACAAAGAGGTGACATTTGGTGTAATTGTCTTTTCCACCTTGACTGTGCTAAGTGGCCTCATTAAAGATGCCCTCTGCCCAGAGATCTCTTAGAAGGTGCCACTCTCCTTGGGCTTGCAGAAACAGTAATTAATGAAAATGCCTGCTATGAAAATCAATGTTTTTCTACCTTTGGGCTCTCAGATACCTTGTCTCACTTCCAGGGCTGCTCCAATGACAAAGTGGTCTTTCTCCACATGGTCTAGCAGAGAGTTATGAGCAGAAGCCAAGATATGGGGCTGGACTCCTGCCTCTGCTTTCATATGACCGTGGCTGACTCCCTCCCCCTTTCTGATCCTCAGCTTTTCTCAACTATAAGCCAATGATATTATACCTCATAACCATAATACTTATAATAAAAAGCAGCTATTATTTACCAAGTGCCTGATATAGGCCATGCACTTCAACATGACTTCATGAGCTCTTCTGGCTCTGATACCTTTTGAATCATCTGCGGCCCTAATGTGTTAAAGCTCTGCAGTGAGATCACCTAGGCTCAAATCCCAGCTCTGTCATTTCCTACCTGTAGGACCATAGGCCAGTTACTTACTCTCTCTGAGATTTGGTTTTCTTATTTGCAAAAGTGAGGCTTCTCTGAAACTCAGGTTTCTTATCTATAAAATGAGGTTAATATTGGTATCAACCTTATGAAGTTATTGTATAAAAGCATTTGGTACATAGTAAGTGTTCAACAAATATAAGCTTTTATCACTATTATTATTTCACTCTTATGGGTTCCATGAGTCATGCTGGCAAAGAGATGGAGAGTATCTTTTAACCAGCCTTTCATGGCAGCTGCAGCTTCTGAGAACACCAACAATCTCCTCTACTCCAATACGCGGGCCAATATTCCCAGCTGTTTGTTTCCCTTGTATCTTCACTTAAGGGGAAACTTCCTGCAATCAGATTTCAGGTCCTTTTTAGACATTTAAGGCAAGAATTCGTGGTTCAGCACTAACATGGGGAAGATGCATAATGGACTAGTAGAACCACCCTGCCCCCAAGTGGGACCTGGGGCTGGTGTGGGGTGACAACCACCAAAGGTTAAGAGTCACTGACACCCAGATTACAATAGCCCATTCTTATTATCTACTAAGCACTAGGTACCACACCAGAATTTTGGATATTTACGTCCTTGAATTCTTACAACAACCCTGCAAGATAGGTGGTTATCTCCATTTTTCAAATCAGGAAACAGGCCCAGAAAGGTTAAGCGGTTGACCTGGGGTAAGAGCTGGGTTTTCCCCTCTGGTCGTGAAGCCCGAGCCCGTTCTTCATGTCTCTGAACTCTTCTATGTCCCTTGTGAGGTACAAGACCTCAACACACTATCTACTAACCTGTAAGCTAGATTCAAAATTGTTATTTGACATATCATTTACTGATCTGTAAGCTAGATTCAAAATTGTCATTTGGGCCCTGGTGGGGTGGCTCAGTTGGCTGGACTGTCATCCCGTACAAGAGGTTGTAGGTTTGATTCCTGGTCAGAATACATGCCTAGGTTGCAGGTTCGGTCCCTGGTCAGGGATTGTACAGGAGGCAACTGATCAATGTTTCTTTCTCACATTGATATCTCTCTCTTCCCCTTCCCCTCTCTAAAAAAACAAAAAAAAATTCAATAGGCATGTCTTCAAGTGAGGATTAAAAAATAAATAAAAGAATTAAAATTGTCATCTGGGGAATTGCAGAAATCATTGATGCTCTAAAAAAATGAGACTTGTCCAGTACCCACTCATCAATTTTCATCTGCTTTTCACTTAACATGTCTGATATTTTGGTTTACTCATGTGACTTTATGAAGTCACTAGAGCTGATTTTTAAACATCTGGCTTATTTGGAAAAGCACCTATAACACCTTCTTTTCACTGCTAAGCCTTGTTTCTCCATTTCCTTGCCTTTCAATTATTTTGCACCTATCACACCACACAGACACACACACACAAACACGAACATACGCATGCACAACCTTTCCAAGGCCAATGGTGGCTTCCTTGTATCTAAATTTAATGGACAAAAATGGATGCTTATGAGGCCTCATTGTATTTGAGCTCTCAACAGCATCTGAAGACTGGTGATGCCTCTCTTCTTCAACATCTCCCACCCTTGGCTTTCAGCATGCACACTCTCGTTTCTGTCCTCTGGTGGCTCCTTCTTTGTCTCTTGCTAACTCCTGTTTGACCTCCGCCATTAATAGTNAAGTGGGACCTGGGGCTGGTGTGGGGTGACAACCACCAAAGGTTAAGAGTCACTGACACCCAGATTACAATAGCCCATTCTTATTATCTACTAAGCACTAGGTACCACACCAGAATTTTGGATATTTACGTCCTTGAATTCTTACAACAACCCTGCAAGATAGGTGGTTATCTCCATTTTTCAAATCAGGAAACAGGCCCAGAAAGGTTAAGCGGTTGACCTGGGGTAAGAGCTGGGTTTTCCCCTCTGGTCGTGAAGCCCGAGCCCGTTCTTCATGTCTCTGAACTCTTCTATGTCCCTTGTGAGGTACAAGACCTCAACACACTATCTACTAACCTGTAAGCTAGATTCAAAATTGTTATTTGACATATCATTTACTGATCTGTAAGCTAGATTCAAAATTGTCATTTGGGCCCTGGTGGGGTGGCTCAGTTGGCTGGACTGTCATCCCGTACAAGAGGTTGTAGGTTTGATTCCTGGTCAGAATACATGCCTAGGTTGCAGGTTCGGTCCCTGGTCAGGGATTGTACAGGAGGCAACTGATCAATGTTTCTTTCTCACATTGATATCTCTCTCTTCCCCTTCCCCTCTCTAAAAAAACAAAAAAAAATTCAATAGGCATGTCTTCAAGTGAGGATTAAAAAATAAATAAAAGAATTAAAATTGTCATCTGGGGAATTGCAGAAATCATTGATGCTCTAAAAAAATGAGACTTGTCCAGTACCCACTCATCAATTTTCATCTGCTTTTCACTTAACATGTCTGATATTTTGGTTTACTCATGTGACTTTATGAAGTCACTAGAGCTGATTTTTAAACATCTGGCTTATTTGGAAAAGCACCTATAACACCTTCTTTTCACTGCTAAGCCTTGTTTCTCCATTTCCTTGCCTTTCAATTATTTTGCACCTATCACACCACACAGACACACACACACAAACACGAACATACGCATGCACAACCTTTCCAAGGCCAATGGTGGCTTCCTTGTATCTAAATTTAATGGACAAAAATGGATGCTTATGAGGCCTCATTGTATTTGAGCTCTCAACAGCATCTGAAGACTGGTGATGCCTCTCTTCTTCAACATCTCCCACCCTTGGCTTTCAGCATGCACACTCTCGTTTCTGTCCTCTGGTGGCTCCTTCTTTGTCTCTTGCTAACTCCTGTTTGACCTCCGCCATTAATAGTGGCATTCCAGAGGGTCTAATATTCTTTTTTTAATTTTCTAATTATTTTATTTTTAATTGTGGTAAAATACAACAGAAAATTTACCATCCAAACCATTTTAAGTGTACAATTCAGTAATGTCAAAAGATAGGTCTGGTTAGAGAAATTTGTGCTTTCACCATGTTAACGTATATTCATTGTTGTGCAACCAATCTCCAGAACTTTTTCATCTTGCAAAACTGAAAAGTCATATTCATTAAACAACTCCCCATTCCCCTAACTCTGGCAACCAGCCACCATTCTACTTTCTGTTTCAATGAGTTTGATTACTCTAAATATCTCATACAGGTGAAATCATACAAGATTTGTTGTTTGTGCTTATTTCACTTAGTATAATGTCCTTAAGGTTCATCCATGTTGTACCATGTGACAGAATGTCCAGAGGGCTCCATCTCAGGTCCTCAGCTCTTTTCTCTCTAAATTCTTTAAGGAATCATAATCATTCCCTTGACTTCAATTACCACTTATTGGGTTAAAATATATGGAACTACCTATATTTAATAGTTTCTGACCTACCAAAGTGGTAGTATCTCTAACTCAGACCTCTTGTTTGAGGACTTGACCTATATATCCAACTGCCTCTTCAACATCTACTTCTCATGGGCATCTCAAACTCAAGCTGACAAAACCTGGTTATCCACCAAAATGCTTACAACTAAATCTGGGCACCATCCTTGACTGTTCCCTTTCATTCATCTCTCACATTTGATAGCTAAGTCCTTGCAATTCTACTTCCTAAATACATCTCGAATCCATCCACTTCTGCCTTCCCCACTGCTACCTTAGTCCAAACTCCTGTCTTCTCCAGCATGAATTACTACAATAGCCTCACTGCTGTTCTTTCTCTACTACCCTTCCTCCCTATTTCAAACCATTTTCCACTTTGTAACAGAACGATCGAATAATGCTTAAACTGTCAATGTTTTCCCAGTGCTCTTAGGATAAAAGCCCGAATCCTTAATATGACCCACAACGTCATGAATGGATACTTGCTTATCTCCCCACCATCATTTTGCCTCACATATCCCCCTTGCCCTCTGGGAAGCCTTCCTTGATCCCTGCTCCCTCATATTAGGCTATCTCCATAGTAGCCCATTTATTTCCTGTTCTAAAGCTTGTCACACTTGTTATTTGCTCAATGCCTATCTCCTCTATAGACTCTAATTTCTATGAGAACTTGGACAATACCTCATTTACTACCATATATACAATGCCTGGTATATATTAGGAAAGAGATCAACAAATATTTTTTGACTATATATGAATTTTATAAGACCTGAAAACCTGTCCTATGTATAGGAATTGAAGAAACTGAGGGATCAGCATGGGGCAGAGAAAGCGGACCTGTTCTGTATAGGACGCAAGGCCAGAAATAGGGAGAGAAAGTGATGGGGTGAAGCAGAGGATTGCAGTAACCCGGAGGGGATGCTGAGTGCTCTGGAGGCTGGAAGGATTTGGCTGCCTGAATGATATGCAGGTTTTAGTTTTAGATTTTGGGTAAATGAAAGAAATGTGAGCCTGGAGTACAAAGCAAACTCCAAGTCTTATTTGATCTGCTTGGTAGATGCACATCTACTCCTGGTGGGAGAGACCTAGATCTTCTGGGTCATCTCACATTTGACACAAATTGTCATGAGACACTTGCCAGAAGCCCTACGGAAACTATTCTCTGGACCCAAGACAGAACTTAACCTGTTTCAGTGCTGGCTCTGCTGCTGCCTAGTGTAGGGCCCAGGACAAATCACTTCATCTTTCTGATTCTAATGTCTTCATTTGTAAAATGGGGATAATAAAACTTGCACAACAGAGTTGTTGTGAGGATTAAATCAGGTAATTACATGTGAGAGCATCTAGCCTAAGGCGTGGAAAACAGCCATTGGTAAATGTAGGATGACTGACTGACTGACTGAAGGAATGAACAAACAAGCTTTGACTGAATTGAAGCCAGCAGGGAAAAGAAGTCCAGCCACTAACAAACCTAAATCCTTTGCTAAGGCAGAACCCCTGTCAGTTGAAGTCACTGCCTGCATACTTTAGGTCAATATCCCACCTCTGTGAGTAAGAAGGGGTCAGGATGAGCTCAGAAGCTCTGCTGATGACCTGTACCAAAAAGCCTTCTGCTAAGTACACTCAGAGCTGGAGGCAGAAGGAAGGTTTGGAGCCAGACAGAGATAGAGACCTGTACTGATGTCACTGATTAACATCAGGTCATATCATCTGTATGTCCTTGAGCAAGTCACTCTGAGTCATCTTTTTTATCTGTGAAGGGGGAAAACCATGCCTATTTAGATAAATGCTGTGGGGGATTAAATTATAATGTATATATTAATATAAAGGGGCATGTGATGCCCCTACTCCTCTGCCCAGGTTTTCATGAAAGATTTTGGCTGACCTTTAAAGTAGATGCCTTAAGCAAGAAAAAAAGATCAAGGCTACAGTTCTAGGATTACGTATGTAATTTAGACACATGGAGGAGTGTAGAAACGGAAAGGAGCTTTGGCTTGAGATAAAAGAACAGAATGGATACAAGATAAGCAGCCCAAAATATTGCAGTGCCTGAGTCCTGCCAGTAGACAAGAGATAACAAGGAATGACCAGGGCAAGGCTGAGCAACGGGGGAGCAGGAGCTAGAGCAAAGAAGGATCGGCTGCAAGAGAGCCCTGGTCATGCCAGCTGGGTGCTATGTTGTTCCTATCAGTCATAAGCCAAAATAGGAGGTCATGAACCAGGGTTCTAAGAAACTCGGTTCTGAGGTTTCCAGATTCCTCAGCATATGAGACTGATCCTATTAAAGGAGAAGGCACTGCCTGTATGTGGAAACGGTTAAGTAAATATCAGCAATCCCTTTCCAATTCTGTCTTTTTTAAAAATTTATTTTTATTGATTTTTAGTGAGAGAGGAAGGAGGGGGAGAGAGAAAGAGAAATATCACTGTGAGAGTAGAACACAGATCGGCTGCCTCCTGCATGCCCCCTACTGGTGCTGGATCAAGTCCACAACCCAGGCATGCACCGTGACCGGGGAATCGAACCAGCAACCTTTTGGTGTATGGGATAATGCCCAACCAACTGAGCCACATGGGACAGGGTCCAATTTTGAAGAGGTTTGTAAAGCAGGTCTTTCAATGGCATTGGAGAAACAACCCTTGGCACCCTGCTCAAGAGCTGCCCACCTTGCTTCAAAGCCACTGCTTTGCACCCTTCTCATTTGTGTCAATATTGCCCAAGGACAACCTGTGTTGTATGGTTGCTTTAAGGTTTGGAGGGTTGTAAGAAAGCCATGATCCCTCTCCTTGCCCACAGGTGGTCTGGAACATCTAAGACATCTGTGTGCTCACCTCTCCAGCACTGTGGGAAAAGCACAGATGGCTCTGAGAAGCAGCTTCCCTGAGGCCAAGTTGTTGCCTATCTCAAGTGTTGACTATCTGGTGCTGGATCTCCATGGCCTGGGGAGAAAACCCTGAGGACCAACACCAATGCTCACATAGGCTCCTTGAGACAGGAATTGTGTCAGTGTTGGTCACTACTGTACCTCAATGAAGAAACACAGTAGGTACTCAATAATGACTGGCTGAATAAAAAAATAATCTCTTCTCTTCCCCTCCCTTACTATAGGCTGTGAGTAGTTACTGTGATGGGAAGGGCTCCTAACTTTTTGTGAATGCTCACTCCTGTGATGTTGATGAGAGAGCATCTTGAGGTCAGGGGGTAGCTAATATTCTGAATCAGAATTGTCTTCACCATGTTACCCCAGGAATACAGGCAGGCCTCAGCTGCTGGGAAAGGAGGGGCCCTGATTACACTCTAAAATCTGGCAAAAGCTGATGAGGTTTTCACACAAGGAATGTGGATGACAGGGAGTTTAAGTCAGAGGTTGCAAACTGGTGGTCCTTAGACCAAATCTCACAGGGTTTAACATTTTAAAAATTTAGTTGCATATTTTAAAAAAAAAGAGAATTCTTATTCAAATCTGGCTTCTAGATTCTTTTGAAAAACTGAAAGATATAGTAATAAATGGCGTGGCTAGGAGAGGCATGCACTCCTCAGCTAACCATATCCCCTCCAGGCTCTTTCCCTGGCTTCTGCAGGCATTTGAGTTTGCCATGTGTGCCCTAAGAGACCTAAGGAGGAAGAGCATAGCCTTGGTGGTCCAGCCCTCATTCAGCTATGGGGGTGAGCTGGGCCTCCTTTGGCCTCCTTACCTGATGAGTCGGTGACAGCAGGGTCTGCCAGCCGCCCATAGTGTGCCATGAGTTTGAGCTTGGTCTCCTGTTTTCTGTGTTTCTTGCCCACATAATGTTGCTGAGCCATGACAGGGTCGTTGAAAGTTGCGTGACAGAGGCTGCAGAACTTGTCTGGGTCTATCATCTCTCTATTCTGGTGCAAGGCTAAGGTGGAGGCCACAAGGAAAGGGTTTGTAAGGCGTTTCGACAGAGCTGCAGTGAGAGAGTTAAAACAGAAACAATGAAAAAACCCAGAAGGTGCCAGGCTTTTGAGTATGCTGAATGCAAATGAAGGCTGGTCACTAATCACACTTACACATGTGGACTTGCTGGTGTGAATCACACAGTGATAGCCTTCTGTGATTAAGAAAACTGCAAAGATTTGGGGGAGCTACTCTGTTCAACAGCTTTAACTATTTTAGGCACATGAATCCTGATTTTCTCACCTTCTGAGGAGGTTCTGTACTTCTATCAAGTTGTCAAATGACAATAGACTACAGACGTACATGTTTGCAGTCTTTTTATTCTTCTGAATTTCCCAGAACTTCACAGTAAGTGGTATAAAAAGTCTGGGTGTTTTATTCCCACCCTTACAGTACCCCAGTTACAGAGCTGGGAGGCAAGGTCCTGAAGTAGAAATTGAGGGTCTGAGGGCCTGCAGGGTCATTTAGAAAAGGCAACTATACTGGGAGGCCTTTTGGCAACATTGCCTTCTCGGCTGAGGTGGGGAGAGAAGAGGATGACATTGACATTTAGGTATGTGCTTTGTACATATATTTTTTCCTTTGGTCCTCAGAACTGCTCCATGAGTTATGTATCATTTTGCTACATTATAGAGAAAAACCAAGGCTCAGAGGTGAAACGACTTGCCCAAGACCACCCAGTGAGTAGAACCCAGGTCTGTGTGATCCTAAAGACCATGCCCTCTTTGCTTTACCAGGCTTCCAGACTGTGGCAAGGGGGCCTAAAGGCAAGAGTTCATGCTTTCACTTTCAAAAAATCCCTAGCTTTGGGTAAGTCTCCTGTGGATCAACAGATGTCCTAAAGCTGACTGTGGGCCGCGCTGCTGCTTTATGAAGTAGATGTCATGACACACTAATGAGGCCATATGGCTGGAATGGTGTGGATCTAGTAACCACGGCTTTAAAAATGTCGCCTAGAAGCCCCACCAGTGGTGGAGGAGGGGTGGGGCTCAGCAGCACTAACAGGTGCCGAGGTGCTCTTTCATCTTGGTACCATGTCAATGAGGGAAGTTTTGAGGATTTTTAGCAAGCCAGAAGAAACTTGCTGGGTTTTCCCATAGTGATTTTCCAACATAGGGAGTCTCAATTTCTCTGGCCATTGATTTTCCCTGGTCACTGTTTCAGCAAGTCACTTGGAAAGTAATATACATGTTGCAGAATATTTAATAATATAAGAAATATTCAGCATGTGGTGTTGAGTTAAAAAGAAAAGGTTATACAGGTATCTGTTTCCTATGTCAATTCTGTAAAACAACTACAGAAAACATACTGATGTTTTACAAAAGCAGATATAGAGTAAAAGGGTGCTTTTCAGTATTTTCCAACTTTTCTATAATAAATGTAGATTTTTGACATCAGAAAAGATAATGGTTAATATAAAGGTCATTCTTTAAAGTTAAAGGAACCACTTAATGGACATCCAATAAAAATGAGAGCTATGGAAGTCTTCTCTCAGGAAACAACTTGAAATATGGAAGGAGTATTCTATATGGATATTTGTTACAGAGCTATTTATAAATACCAAAAAGGGGAGAGGGGAAGATATTAGAGGAATGGTTAAATGTGATATGATGAGATATTTTATAGTCATTAAAAATGTTTATGAAAAGTTTTTAATAACATGAGGAAATACCAATGTTATATTAAAATGAAAAGAATATGAAAGAAAACTGCATACACAATATATTATTGTGAAAAGATACATACACAGTTTATAAGTGTGCACTAGTATTTTGAAATGTCACCAACATAACAGTGTTTTTCTCTTGGTAGTAGAATTTGGGTGAAATTTTACTTTCCTCTTTGTACCTACTGTATTGTTTAAACTAGAATTAGTCATAATGAGTATGCACTGCTTTTATAAAAACAAGATTATTTAAAGTATTCTATGTTTATATGTACATATACATGGATTCAATCTAGATATACATAAAACAGATATACACACAGATATACACACATACACATAGCAAAAGATTATAGGAGAAACAGTACTACAAAATGTTAACAATGGTTATCTCTGAATGGTAAAATTATGGGCACTCTTCTTTCCACTTATCTATATTTTCTACAACATGTTTGTATTACTTTTACATTAAAAATGTTTAATTTCAGAAATATAGTTAAACTCATGAAATAATAGGAAAATGTGCTTAAACTACAAATTAAAAGTAAAAGCAGGAAACATGCACAACGATTACAACTATATAAAAACATATGCATGTGGCAAAGGCCAAAAGTGGACATGGAAAATAACTTCTTGAATACGGAATCTTTGGGACAAGGCATATTCCAGGGAATTTTCCCATTTATGGTGAGATAAATCCACGTAAAGATAAGCGAGTGACCGTATAACGTTGTGTTCTTAAGCTGGTTTCTCTTAGCCTAATGTTTAATCTTTTTGGTACCATTCATGGTACCAAACACTGACTTTAACAAAAGCAATTAGTAGTAGAAGTAGGCTCCAGGTGGTGGATGCCTGCCCAACTACTGCATTTAATGGGGGGAATTCCACTCACTGCCTATCTTAATGATGGTGATAATACTAACAATAGCAGCTGTCATTTACTGGGCATCTATTATGTCCTAGGTTCCTTATATATATTATTTCATTCTCACAACCTATGAAGTAGAAAGCATTATCAACATTTTACAGGTGAGGAAACTCAGGCATGAAGAAGTCAAGTTATATGGATGGTAAATAGCAGCCCTGGGATTTAAACCTGGGAGCCTGTGAGTTCAAAGTCCATATTCTGCTGTTTCATAGCATGAATAACTAGATTTGGGTGTGATAAAAGGGTATAAGTGATTTTTATACTCTATCTTCAAAGCCTTCCAAAACATTGCTGTCTTGTTTTTATAAAACAATAATATAAAAAAGGATAACAAGTATTATAGATAATATAATCTACTCCTTGGTCCAAAATGAAGAGAGAAGCAAAAATTACCAAGAAAAAATTAAGATCAAAGAACTTTCACTCTTGACTAACTGCAGTTAGGAGAGGTTAAAAAATCCCAGAAAATCAGGAGTTAATGAGATGAAATCAAGGGTCCCAGTGGTGACAAGATAAAGGGGTCTTTTTTAGAAGTCACTACACTGGGAATAAATTCATAGCAGTTGCAAACACAGCTTGCTGGGCTATAGTGGCAGCACTGAAGTATTCAGCTTTGAAAGGCAAGTCCCTGTCTTGAGAAGAGGCACCTTTGAGGATTAAAGTGAGCAGGGCATAACCTGAGCACACAAAAAAGACAACGTTTTAGCTTTTAACTTGGAACACATGATAATAAGGCCAGGTGGATGCTTGGGAGGGAAAAATCTAAGTGGGAGAGGTAGGAAGTAGAATGCTCTCATGGTGTAAACGGCCTGCAGGACTTTGGCACTCCCAAGTTACATTATTAATCAGAACAAAAGCTCATGGCTAAGAAGTTTCTACAGAGAAAAACTGATGCAATCAAAGAAAGGGAGGTTAGGTGAGCACAACCTCTGAGGCTGCATATCAATGAAGCGGTGTCTACTTTAATATTTTTAAGGGCTCCCAAAAGTAGTTCAACTTCTTCAAGTCTGTGGCCCCAGTGAGCATTTCTGGGAGCACCTGGCATTGGCGCCCTGAGGATAGGGGGGGTCCCGATATAGCACTACTCAGGAAAACCAGTACCTTCCACCTTAGTGGATTGCTGCTTCAGCTTTAAGTTCTTTGCGTGGGTCTTCCCCAGGTAGTGCGACTGGGCCACGACAGGGGAGGAAAAGGTCATGTTACAGATGGGGCAGCACTGGTTCTTGTCTTTGCTTCTGCTGCTCTTCTGGTTGGGAGAAAGAACACAGGTCTGATCACGCCACTGCCCGGCCAGAAAATCTTAAATGGTTCCCCATTGCCCATAGGAGAATGGGCATTCAAGGCCCCCTTCACAAGCTACCCCAACCTACCTTTCTGGATTCTTCTCCAGCTAACTCATCCCAGGCCCTACTCACCATTTCCCACTTTATGCTCTGTTGCTTTCTTGCTTTTTGCTTGGGCCATTCTTGCTACCTAGAATGATCTTCCCTTCTCTCATGCCTGGCATCTGTCTGCTTAGCCTTCAAGGCCCAGATTAAATATCACCTCTTCTGGGAGATTTTTACTCAAGAAAATCATTCAATAAACAATTATCAAGCCACTTTGTGTATTTCAGGAAGAATTAATTTTGTTCCTCTTCTGTACTCCCAGAATGCATGAAACAGACCTCTCTAGCTTACTACTTGCAACCCTAAACTGACAGCATAATAGCTTGGGAGGCTTTTCTGTGAACTAAAGCTCAACATTTGGGCATGGACTGTTTGACTCATCTTTGTTTCCCATCCTTAGCACCCTGCTGGAGTCTGGCACACAGCAGAGGCTCAGGGTTTGTCGAACAAGTAGATCGTTGTTTTTTATAAATTTTTTTTTATTGATTTGAGATAGAAAGGGAGAGAGAGGAACATCGATTTGCTGTTCCACTTATTCATGCATTCACTGGTTGATTTGTGTATGTGCCCTGATGGGACTGAACCCACAACATTGGTGTATCAGGATGATGCACTAAACAACCGAGCTACCTGGCCAGGGCAAAAGAGTATTTTAAACCTTGGCACTGCAGACATTTTGGGCTGCATAATCCTTTACTGAGGGTGGAGTGGGGAGGAGCTTATGATCTTATTTGAACTACTGGGACACCCCAAGTTGAAGGAACCGGAATACAAAGAGGTGAAGTGACCTGCTCAGGGTCACAGAGTTCACCCTTTCTTTTTTCTTTTCTTTTCAAATATTTTTTATTGACTTTTAGAGAGAGAGGGAGAGAAAGAGAAACATCAGTGTGAGGGGGAACATCGATAGGCTGCCTCCTGCACACCCCCTGTGGGGATTGAGCCCTCAATCCAGGCATGTGCTCAAACCAGAAACTTCAGTGCACTGGATGACGCCCAACCCACTGAGCCACACGGGCCAGGGCTTTTTTAAATTGCATTTATTGGGGTGACATTGGTTAGATCTTGACTTCCTGAATTCTAAATCATAAGAAGGGCAACTAGGGGATCAGTCCAGTGAATTGGAGAAGGGATGAGCATGGCCCTTCCAAATCCATGGTCACAGTAACAGGAGGCACAGTTTGTATACTCATGAGTATCCGCTAGGAATTGAAATTTTACCTCATGATACCCTTAAGAGGTAGGAATTATTACCTCCATTCTATGGGTGAAGTACACAGATGTTAAGTGATTTACTCAAAGTCATCCAACCAGTAAGTTGTAGAGTTAGTACTGGCCTCTAGTCTGCTGACTTCTTATCCTATGATGTTTGCACAGTCTCCTATGGAACAAAAATTATGGTACCCTTGAGGGATGGGGGTTGTTTCAGCATAATTCCCACAGTATTTCTAAGCCAAAAAGCAAATGTGTTTACATCTCTATCAGAGCAGGCATCTGGAAAGGTGTTCCTCCCATTTGTTTATTCAAAACATTCAAGTGCTGAACTCAGCTCTTTTTCCTGATCTCAAGAAAGCAAACAGCCTAGCTTCCTCCACTTTGTTTCCTTGAGTAGTGAAGGGGCAGCTTCTTGTTCTACTCCATCAAACCACTGAGTGGTAATGCATAGCAATGGCTCCATTTACTGAGCTCCTACTATGTGCCAGGCTCTGTGCTTTTTCTTTCCTTCATTTTAGTTTGGAAAATCCTAAAATGTAGTTGATATTAGCAACCTCATTTTTATAGAGGAAGAAATCAGGGCTCAGAGAAGTAATAAGACTTGCCCAAGTCACATGACAGGGCTGGGATTTGAAGCCATGTCAGTCTGACTCAAAGCCCATCCTCTTTCACCACACCAACCTGCCTACTGGCTTCATCAGGAAGCGAGCAGTACCACCATGGCAGCTGGATTACCTGATCTGAGTCTAGCTTCTTTGTTTCCCCCTTTAATGTCTCCATTCCATGGATCGCTAGGTATCTCTTCACTTTGTTGGCATGTTTTTTGCTCTGCAAGAAGTCAGGAAAAAGATCAAAGATAGCCAAATGCCATTTCATATCTAAGGAACTCAAAAACATTAGATTTTCACTTGATTCATCCTCATAAAACTTTTGAGCAGGGAAGAAACCTAGTTTATTGAGTTCCTACTCAATTTACTTTACATGCCGTCAAATCTAACCTTCACAACAAGCTATGAGAAAATTATCATCATCTCTATCTTATAGCTAAGGAAACAGAGGCTGAAGATGGTGAGGATTCTTGCCCAAGATGAGTAGCAGAGCTGTGACTCAAACTCTGGTCTATTTAAAGCCAAAGCGCAAAGTATCTACTATATAAGCTACAAGGGAAGATATAACTATAATGATCCTGATTTAGATGGGAGAAATGGGACTCGGAATAATTAAGTCAATCTTCAAGTTACAGTCAACATGCATGGAGGCAACATCTGGGTGGCTAAAAAGGAATTACATTTCACGGCGCAAGCTAGGAAGAAGTGGAGGCTTGGAACTGGGTCTGGAAAGTAAAGCAGTTCTAAAGGTACTATGGCATACCTGGTAGTGTGCCAGCTTCTGAGATTCCGAAATAAGCAAGGCGCAGCAAACCTTACATTGGGTGTTGGTGAAGAGACACTGGTTCTTCTGGATCATGTGCTCCACTACAAAGAGGAAAATAAAAAAAATCTTTGAGTTAAAAATCTGCTTCAGCAGCACTGTCTTTGAACCCTGCCTCAAATATGGGCACTGAGTAATGGAATGCCATACTGTTATATCTTGGCAAACCTCAGTCACTCTTTCATGACTCATGCTATGTTCTCACACCATCTATACTATTACTTACCTTATAATTTTATATAAGCCAACAATTTATTTATTAAATAGTTTAAAAAGTTTTAAACTGAGCTATAATTGACATGTAACATTATATTAATTTCAGGTGTACAATATGACTTGATATTTGTATATATTGCAAAATGCTCACAGTAAGTCTAGTTAACATGTGTCAAGATGTTCACCAAGACAGAAGCAGAGTAGGTGAAAGTTATACTTATCTCCTGTCAGGACCAAACTGAAATTACAATTAAATTACAGAACAATCAACCTGAATAATCAACTGAAGACTAGCTGAACAGAAGTCTTATAACCAAGGATTTACAGAAGACACCACATCCAGACTAGCAGGAGGGCGGAAACGTGAAAAAGGCTGGCCCGCAACTACATGCAGTAGTTGAGAATCCGGAAGGAAGTCTCAGCTGCAAAGGTACCCCCTTAGAAGCGTGGTCTCAACTCTACAATGGGCTCCCCAGCCTGGAACACCAGAGCCAGGAAGAAGCCACCAGGGAGGGACAGGAATCTGCTAGAAACCCAGGTACCCTCTTATGGGTTAAGTGCACAAAGTCTCATTCATGGCCACACACCCTGGGCTCTGGCAGAGGGGGGGCAAATTGGAGTGGCCTGGAGTTATGCCAGGAGAGACTGGGCTGTGTGGCTCTGGGGAGAGAGCTGAAGGGACAGCCAGCCACTGGGGTCCCTGTGCTGAGTACCTTTCCCTCACTGTCCACAGATGTCAAATTTCCTGGGTTGAACACTTTCCTCCATATGGCATCAGCCTGGGGGAATGCACTAGCCCCACCCTTCTGACTCCCCATCACCCCATTCTGCCAAGCTTACAAACTGCAGAGGAGTCATCTGCCTAGACCAGTGGTGTAGACTTTCTTGGAGGGCTCTTGAGGGTGAACTCAGGGGGTGTCAGAGATTGAGTTGTGTGATTCTGGGGTGGGAACCGTTCCGTCCTCCAGGCACCTGTTGTGTACGTACCACTCCCTCATGGGAGATCTACTAGCCCCACCCTCCTGACTTCTGGTGGGCCGGCCCTGAAGAGCTGGCACTCTGCAGAGGAGTCAGCTGGCTGTGGCCAGCCTGGGTCCTTCGTACAGACTCTCTTGGAAGGCCCTCAAGGAGGTCTGGACAGACTTGGGAAGACACTGAGTTCTGTGGATCTAGGGCAGGGAGTCACTTTTCCCTTGTACGCACCACTGGCAGTACTGTTTTTGTGCAGAGCCCTCCCTTCACATGGCCAAATCTTAGTGTTTGGGCCTGATAAACTCTGCTGGCCTCACCCTGATGATTCAGAGATCCTGCCCCACCACAAAGGTCTGAGGGCACCTGGTGGGTGGCAGCTGGCCTTGGTATACCCTGTGACTTTATTTTATTTTATTTATTTAAAAAAAAAAATCCTGTGACTTTTGTTGAGTGGCCTCAGACCCAGCATTGGTGCTGAGTGTGAATATGAATTAATCTGGTGAATACCACTTGCCCCTACCTGGTAACTTATTGAAAACCTACCTCACGCAACTCATGTACTGCCAGAGGCTCTTTCAGTGACTGAACTTAATAGGCAGCTGGCAGGTGGAGGCAGATCTTGGGGTGCCTTGGGCCTTTTGCTGACCTGCCCCTGGGCTCGGTGCTGGGGGAAGCTGCCCTTGGTGTGCAGCTTGGCCCCTCTCACGCACACCCAGGCCCAGCTGAGGCAGCATCAAACTGTGGATCACTTTTATAGTTCCAAACAAGTAGCCTAGGCTGGTCACAGACAGTGTCTGTCATTGACTTGCACTGGAGTCCCTTCCAAGATGCCAGTAGTGGGCTTCTGACCATTTTAGAGCAAGATCCAATTAGCTCCACAGGGGGGCAGGGCACACCCAAAAGGAGATCTTGGCAGGCACCAGACCCTGCTGGGGCTAATTCAGCTTTGTGGGGTGAGGCCCTGCATAGCAGCTTGTACACTATGGTGGGGTTTATCCTCACAAACAGCCAGCCTGAGGGTCAACCCCACCCATGGACAGGTCAACCCCACCCATGTATAGGCCAACAGCAACCAAGACTCAAATATAACAGGAGGGCTCATGTAACCTACACAAGGGACATTCCTGGAGCACCTAGCTCAGGTGATCAGGGAAATTGCGCCACTGAACCCAAAAAGACACCTTATACATAAGCCACCGTAACAAGACTGGAAGGAATAGCAGATCTACATAATACACAGAAACAAATATCAAAAGGCAGCCAAAATGGGAGACAAAAAAATATGCCCCAAACAAAATAACAGAAGAAATCCCCAGAAAACTAACTAAATGAAATGGAGGCACACAATCTACCAGATACAGAGTTCAAAACAATGATTATAGGGATGCTCAAGGAACTTAGGGGAAGAAGGGATGAACTCAGTGAGAACTTAAACAAAGAGATAATAAGCATAAAAAGGAAATAGAAACCATAAATAGAACCAGTCAGAAATGAAGAATATGACCGGCCGTCGTGGCTAAGTGGTTGAGCATTGACCTATGATCCAGGAGACTGAGGTTCAATTCCCGGTCAGGGTATGTGCCTGGGTTTTGGGCTCGATCCCTGGTGGAGGGTGCGCAAGAGGCAGCCAATCAATGACACACTGTCATGACTGATGTTTCTATCTCTCCCTCTCCCTTCCTCTCTCTGAAATCAATAAAGATATATTTTAAAAAAGAAGAATGTAATATCTGAAATGAAGAATACACTAGAAGGAATCAACAGCAGGTTAGATGACGCAGAGTATCAAATCAGCAATTTGGAAGACAAGGTCACAGAAACCACCCAATCACAGCAGCAAAAAGAAAAAAGAATTTTTAAAAATGAGGATAGTTTAAGGGACCTCTGGGACAACATTATGCATAACAATATCTATGTTACAGGGGTACCAGAAGGAGAAGAAAGAGAGCAAGAGATTGAGAACCTATTTGAAGAAATAATGACTGAAAACCTCCTTAACCTGGTGAAGGGAAAAGATACACAAGTCCAGGAAGTACAGAGTCCCAAACAAGATGAACCCAAAGAGGTTCACATCAATACACATCATAATTAAAATGGGAAACGTTAAAGTCAAAAGAGAATATTTTTTTAAAGCTTAACTGATTGATTGATTGATTTCAGGGAGAGAGGGAGAAAGAGACATCGACTTGTTGTTCCACTCATTTATGCATTCATTGGTTGATTCTTGTATGTGCCCTAACCAGGGATCAAACCTGCAACCTTGGTGTATTGGGATGACACTTAACCAACCGAGATACCTGGCCAGGGCACAATAGAGAACCTTGAAAGTAGCAAGAGAAAGACAGTTAGTTACCTATAAGGAAACTTCCATAAGACTGTCAACTGATTTCTCAACAGAAACATTTCAGGCCACAGGAACTGGTACAAAATATTCAAAATGATGAAAAGTAAGGACCTATCGCCAAGACTACTCTACCCAGCAAAGCTATTATTTAAAATTGAAAGAGAAATAAAGAGCTTTCCAGACATGAAAAAGCTAAAGGAGTTCATTACCACCAAACCAGTACTACAAGAAATGTTAAAGGGACTTCTTGAAGAAGAAAAAATAAAAGGAACATAGTTATAAAGAACAAACTGGTGCCTAGCAGCGTGGCTCAGCAACTGAGCATCAACCTATGATCCAGGAGATTGAGGTTTGATTCCTGGTCAGGGCACATGCCTGGGTTGTGGGCTTGATGCTCAGTAGGGGGTGTGCAGAAGGCAGCCAATCAATGACTCTCTTATGATTGATGTTTCTATCTCTCTCCATCTCCCTTCCTCTCTCTGAAATCAATAGACATGTTAGAAAAAAATAATAAACTGGCAGTACATATAGATCTATCAATAATCACTTCAAATGTAAATGAATTAAATGCTCCAATTACAAGACATAGGGCAGCTGAATGGAAAAGAAAGCAAGGCCCATAAATATGCTGTCTATAAGAGACACACATCAGAATGAAAGACACACATAGACTGAAAGTAAAGGGATGGAAAGACATATTTCATGCAAATGAAAAAAAGAAAAAGAAAGCTGAGACAAAGAAGGACATAACATAATGATAAAGGGATCAATCCAACAAGAGAATATAACCCTTGCAAACATTTACGCACCCAATATAGGAGCATCTAAATATATAAAGCAAATTTTGATGGACATAAAGGGAGAGATCAACAGTAATACAGTCATAGTAGGGGATTTTAACACCACATTGACATCAATGGATAGATATTCCAGACAGAAAATCAACAAGGAAACAGTGGCCTTAAATGACCTATTAGGCCAGAGGGATTTAATTGATCTTTTCAGAGCATTTCACCCCAAAGCAGCAGAATATACATTCTTTTCAAACGTACATGGAACATTTTCTAGGACACAAAACAAGTCTCAATAAATTTAAGAATCAAGCATCTTCTCTGATCACAACACTATGAAACTAGAAATAAATTAGAAAAAAACCAAAAAACACCACCCTTCAAAAACACACAAGCACATGAAGGCTAAATAACATGTTACTAAACAATGAATGGATTAATAATGAGATCAATGAAGAAATCAAAATATACCTGGAAACAAATGATAATGAGAACACAACAACCCAAAACCTATTGGACACAGCTAAAGCAGTCCTAAGAGGGATATTCATAGCATTATAGGCCTACTTCAAGAAACAAGAAAAATCTCAAATAAACAATCTAATCGTACACCTAAAGGAACTAGAAAAAGAACAACAAAAAAAGGCCAAAGTGAGAAGAAGGAAGAAAATAAAGACCAGAGTGTAAATAAATGAAATAGAGTCTAAAAAACAATACAAAA